GAACATCGGTTGCACCGGCGGCCCACGTATTTTGTCAGTGACATTACTCACAGCCCACTAAACGTGCTTTTCTCGTCTACACGGCCGATCGCGTTAAATTACCGCGCGCATCACGGAGACCGCGGCGATATCCGCGTGCAAAACTCGAGTGATATTGATACATCTCGCTTTGTATATCGCTCGCAGAATCGATGGCCGCTCCCGTGGGGCTTGAAGGATTTGCATTCCTGTCGAATCATTCAAACTCGACAATTTTTCACCACTGCATCACTTCGCGCTATGTTTCCGCGGAATTTCCGAATTGGCGGGATACATTGTGCAGATATGTCACTTTCCATTAGATCTTTCAAACGCAATGATTTTCAGACGATAGTTCAACATATCTCTTTTACGTCAGTAACGTTGAACACTATGCCAATTTTGGATTAAAGATCGGAAACTTTCTATTTTATTTGCCAATGCTATAATCTTGTAGCAATATTACAATAAAATATTAAAAGTCGTGTATTAATTTTATTTTACAATTAGATTTGTTTTGTTATTAAAAATTATTTTATATTATTATATCTTTTACTAAGATTAAAACTTTGAAATTCATTAACTTTTGCGTTAATTTTAAATTGAGACACAAATAATTCATTACTCCAAAAATTTAATGTTAAATTAATATTAATGAGAGATTTTTTTAATGATTATTTTGCGATTGTTATAAATATATAACTTTGGAAATATATTATATAATATTTTAATAATGAAGGTATATAAATAATAATAATAATAATAATAATAATATAATATAATACTCCCGGGAGGCAACCTCCTATCGGAGGTCCACCAACGACACGCAGACGAGATTCATTGTGTCTTTATTGAGGGTACATAAGTTGAGGCCAATAATGGAACGAAAAATTTTTTATGTTTTCTAATAAAATACTAATATACATATATTAATTCACAAAACAATGCGGAACGTTTCAACCTAACTTGGTTGAAACCGTCCTTTTCAACCGCTAAACCAATTAAATTAATATTACATATTTAATGACAAAAATTCGGTGAAACTACATACAGGCGAAAATATTTTAATAAATTATAAAGAGATCTAAATGAAATAATTTTACAAAATTGGAATATTTTCATAATAAAGTGAGATATTGGAAAAATATATTTTTAAGATTTTTCCTTTTGTATCTTTTTCAAGCTTGCGTATTTGAGATTTCGCAATTTCTTTTGCTATATGTTAGAATCTGATATACTGACTTTACTGATATACTGACTGAAGGCTTAAGGTCGTTTTGCAATTTACGATGGAAGCAACTACCACGCATAGAGTAAGATTTCATCAGCAAACATAATTATATACACCATCATCGTGGTAAGTGCTTCTGTAATATTATTTAATGGCCAACAAATTAAATTAAAATGTACAAAATTTTGTTTCAATTGCCACGGAATCTTGATTATGTAATGATTATTTATTAAAATGTTGTTTTTTTATTATTATTAAATCGTTTTATTTATTTATTTATTTTTACACACATTTAGTTTTTATGTTTTATTTTATTACATTTTACATATAAATTGTTATCTTACTGTAGAATTACTCTTTTATTATGATATATGCATATGTATGTTTATATAACAGTATTATGCATATGAACTCTTTCGCGGTGCTTTAATGCTTCACGTAAAGGTCATTTTATTATCTATAGATCTGTGACTATTGCGTGTGTAATTTCGTCATTTTCTACAATATGTTCATATATTAATATTTTAATCTTTAATATGCGTGTATGTAGAATCAGAACTGACATGCCTATCAAATTTACTTTATTATTTTCCTTTATAATTAATTGTGCACATCATTAATCTCTGACATTTATTTCTTTCTGTAGGCGCGATCCAAGATACTAATCCAAGATACTAATTATATAGAAAACAGTTTAATGCTTAATACAATACTGTTATAAAAAGGCATTTTTATTATTAAAAAATAACAAAAATTTCAATATTTTAACATAAAAATGTTTTTTTTTATAAATTTATCTCTTAAAATGGAAGTTGTAAATAATTGTTTTCTAGATGTTCAAAAAATAAAAAAAGGTTATACTACGCATTTGATTACAAAAACTATAAATAATGCTAATAAGTCTAAATAATTATATCATTTCATTTTACAAGCAAAATCCTATCTAAAAAAAGGTTTATTAAACCGATATTTGAATTTTCGAAAAATCTCGAAGTTAATTGTGAGCTCTTTTCCGCGACGCTGATTGTTCTCTCACTGTGCTTACTTCGTAAGCGGCTGTTATTTCATGTATGTTAGTTGTGCATATTGAAGAGTTAACAGTATAATACAATGTAATTGTGTGCATTGTAAACGTTATTAGCAAGAAATAAAGAAAGAATTAAATAGCGCGAAGCAAAACGCATCTGTGATGTCTAGTTAAGTAAAAAACATAAAACTTCGAAAGGACGCACATAATAAAAATATACGAAAAAAGCTAATTAGAATAAAAGATTTAAACTAATATTTGATCTAGACATGGTAACTCAGTTTATAAATAAATTATTATTAGATTTTTTGATGTGAAAAATACGTACAAAACTTTGTTAAACGAAATTATTACAAAAAAAATATCATTAATTTTGTGAAAAGAACAATTAATTAACTCTTAATATGACATAGATAGATATGTCGTAGACATTGTAGACATTGTAAAAAAAAATCTGTCAGCGCGCGTTCATGAATCTTTGTCAACCTGTTCCCTCAAGCATAAAAGTGCATGAAGCCAAACACTGGCTTGTCCGTCTCGATCGGCATCGTTTCTTCCATCAGCTTTCCGCGTTCGCCGAGGACGGCTAGCCTAGGTCAGGCATTCGTGACGTTATGTGGGTCAAAGAACCAGTTCAACAACTGAGAACGATAGCATACGACAGACCGCCTGTCGACGCCGGCCCGATGACGTCAGGCGACGCTATTCTCGGCGCAACGCCGACGCATTTACCGCGGCTAAAAATAAGGACTGCGGCGGTGCACCACCAAGCGCGCAAAATGACAGCCGGCCAATAAAATTGGTTCGCTCGCTTCGCTGCAGTACTAACAATAACAATAACGACGGCCATTGCACGCAGTCCGATTCCGTTCCTTAACCTGAAGTCTAATTTGCACGAATGTTAACATATGAGTGATGATGGTCATTAACGATCAATAAAAACAGTAAACGTGATACAACTTGATATCTCTCTTAATTATTTATATCTTGTATTGATTATATATTTATTCATAATTGTTCTCTTTTATTCTTATACTTGTTGCGTGTGAATTATATGTAGACATATTTAAAATTTAAAAGAATAAAACTATTTCATCAAGATCGTTAAATGTTGCACACAAAATTGTGCAGTAGGTACATACACGAAGTGCAAATTAAATTTCTCGTGGTATTCAAATATTATAATTTATGTATAAATACATATCTATGGACAAATATACTATAAGCACTATATGAATATGTAAAATAGAATTTTAGAGAAGCGATACCTTAGAAATGTCAGGCTATCGTATAATTTACATTATAGTCAACGCATACCAATTTCCGTAATGGATCTTACAGAGATGTTGCTCTATAATGTTGGACGGAAATGACTCGTGGGATAATACAGTAAATAGCAATAATGAGAAGTTGAATGGCACGTGTATGCGTGGCAATACTGTTGCGCTATTTGATTAGTCATGCGAACCTAATAACATAGTGACATTTCTTGTCAATTCTTTGATCTTGAGATAGTTTTAGTCCAACAATGAGTTTTTCTACATCGATATAGAGATACGTGTATTCCCTCGTGATATTACATGTCACTTTCGTAAATACAAACGTCAATAGAGATATGCATAAGATTACTGTATAGAATGTTGTTACAAGGTTTGTCAAAAAAATAAAGAAAATTCACGATATACATATGGTAGGAGCAATTTATATACAAATTGCTTACATTCAAACGAATATACGGATTTGCTAAAGTTATTGAATATAGTTGTGTGGAGTTAGATAGATATAACGTTATAGTCAGGGAATGGAAAGTTACTTGTTAAAAGTAACTAGTTATCGTTACTCGTTACCGAGTTAAAAAAATAACTAGTTACCGTTACTAATTACTGATTTTTAAAAATAACTCGTTATCGTTATCGTCACTTAAAAAGTAACGATTCGTTACTTTTCCGTTACTTTTTAATACTGAAACAAGATCAATATAAATAATTTAAGATGCAATTTTTTGTTTTAATATTATAATAAAAGCAATACAACAATGACACTAGATCGATATATAAAAATATAACTAGAAAAATGAAGGCCTTTTCGATATGAGCTAGAGCTTCCAGCTTCGTGCTTAATATTTCGAAATAAATTTATACATACATATCCAATTTTACAAACTACGTGCCAATTATAAATGTTTGATCTTGATACGCAACTCAACTGATATTTTTCACAATAAATTTTTTAAAGTATTTTAAGATGCGTATGAAACGTAAAAATATCTTGTTAAAGTACTTGTAAATTAATTTGTGATATTAATTGACTTATAGCATTCTTAAGATGTCATAAATGAATCACAGAGTCTATTAATATTTTAAGACATTATTTAAAACAGTCATTAATATTTTAAGACATTATTTAAAACAAGTCTTAAAATAAGAGTAAACTATGTGAATACAAGCTAAAAATTGAAGATTGAATATACATACGAAAATTTTGTCATAAATGCAAAAAGTTCAAAATACAAAAAGTAACGATAAAAGTAACTGTATAATTTATTACTGTTACCGAAAAAATGTAACTACATTACCGTTACAGTTACCAAAAAAATAAAATAACGTCGTTACCAATCCGTTACCAAAAAAAAGTAACTGTAACAGTAACGAGTTACTTTCAATCCCTTGTTATAGTTAATATCTACGAAAAGTTTACAAAACTAGTTAGCAATAATGTTGTTCTATGTCTGCTTCCAGAGTTCGCGTTGAGTATTATGTGAACGAGAACACATTCAAGGAACGACTGCAGTTATACTTCATCAAAAATCAACGTTCGAGTAAGTAAACACATTGATTATTTCGGTTTACGGTAAATTTCAGATTCTAGATATATACACGTAACAAGAGAGAGAGAGAGAGAGAGAGAGGGGGGGGGGATAGAGAAATTTTCGTGGAAAACTAAAAAAATTTCGTTAATTCAATTACTACAATTTACATTGTCAACTATAAAAGTGTTAATTAAACTTGCATTTCAAAGAATTCTGTCTTGTCCTATATTTTCGCGATAAAAGGTTGCCGTGATACGATTGTCACAATTATAAAAATGTTTGCTGCAATTCACATATGATATCATGTGTTGATATATCGAGATATATTTGACATCGTATATATACACACTCATTGTAGAGCCTACTGTCATAAATTCATATCTATACAGTTCTATCTCACGCTATTTGATAGCACCATTACATTCCGCATTACATTGTAACACGCGAAATGCATAATGGTACAATTAAAACATATCACATTTTATCTATCTATTTTTACGTAACTTTCCAAATTTTCCTCTTAATTAACTACTGTGAATATTAATATTTTTAAATTGCAGCATGTATAGCATATTTGATATAACTTCAAATAAAATATAACAACAAGATATATGTAACGGAAGGGGAGGCAAATAGTGACAGATTTTTTTCTCTCTCTTCTACAAGCTAATTTCAAGTTTACAAGGTATGGATTTTTCACTAAAAGAGTACTTTCCACTTTCAAATAGCAAAAAACTTAGAGTTTCCATAAGTTATGTATACGGGCTAGATTTTTATAAAAACTGAAATCTTTATTTGTCACTATTTGCTCCACCCTATGAGTAAATAGTGACACCCTATGGGACAATTACAAAATACATAATTCTTAATTCTTAATCAATCTTTCTTTTAACATTTTGATTAGATAAGGTAATTTATATTTTTATACTCTACCATATGTACATTTTTATTTATTGATAAATAATAGTAGTAAACATTATTTGCTAGTATTTCTTATTGAAAATCACATTTATTCTAGATCTTGTCTTGTAACTTATCTCATATTATTCCAAATGAATTACAAAAACCATATTCAAATATTAAAAAAGCTTTTTGACTTGTCGTTATTTACCCAACTAAAAATTGTCATTTATTTGCTCCAGGAGATACTTTTTCCTTTAAAACTTTACTGAGAGAAATAAAATTAATATACTGCAAGCATAGGAATTATATCAAAATAGATGAAAAAGATACGGTATAACATGGAATAGATTAGATCTCATTCAATGATTTAGCAATTAAGAAAATATAATTTCAAATATCAAAAAAAGATCCAGATTTTACCTTATTTCACGAATGCAAAATTTTAAACTTTTCCACTAGCTATATTTGACTTTTGATTTTTACGGCTTTTTCAGAAGATAATTAGATGCTTGAGAACTGTCTTTCTATTAATGAGTAGTGGTAAAATAAACCCGGAAAAGAGAAATTTAAACACTATTTGGCCCCTGTCACTATTTGCCCCCTCCTCTTCCCTTATATGGAGATAAAAATAAAAATAATAATATACAATTTTCGAGATAAATTTAACTGCATCGTCGTATTGTTGTTATATTTCTACTAAAATTTGTCGCCGGAAATAGCGAGATTGTCGTCAACGGTCTTCTGGCTTGCCGCGAAGCACTCTCGATTGCTTTCCTTTTGAAATAGCAAAACCTCTCTAAAGGCAATCTTAAGAATATCACCGCCATCATCCCCGCGGTTATTCTGAAAGAGCTGCATGATTGTGCTCTTTCGGAACTGTGATGTGGTAATAGATATTGTGCCACTACGAATTCTTGCTGGTGTTGACCTTTGTACCTGACCTATGCATTAGGACCTCGTGAACCCAACAGGTCAACGCTTTGTTGCCCTTTGTGAAGTTTGTCGCGGACAACTGGTTAAAGCCGTCTCGTTAAAGCCGTCCGGACGGTCGATACTCGACCTGAGCAGAAACCAATCTTCGATTTAACTAACAATAAGTCTTATTGTTCGTAAATCCTTATATTACGTAACTTTCTCTAGGCTTAACGTAAACCACGATATCTTTTTTTTATATATATATATATATATATATATATATATAAAAGTATATTACATGCATGAAAGCGGAAATAAAATAAAATAAATTTATATAGTCTTCATGTACAATAAATAGCGTTAGTAAAATATATATAAAATCATTTGTCAATCTAATCGCCCAGGTTTGCAATACATTTTGTGTAATAAACATACAAATCTTCTGATTCCGTCTGCGCAGAAGGTTTCTGGCTACCATTAAAACTCTGACAATTTGAACTTCTTCCTCATCTAGCGTATAGTTTTGATCTTGCTTCTTTCGATTTTCATTTGTTTGTTGATTAGAGAAAGTTTTGCCAGCGTTACGCCAGTGATGAGAAAATTAAGAAAGCAGTGCATACGTGACTTTGAGGGCAACCAAAAACCTGACAAACAAAATCTGAAAAGTTAAGAATCATTACACAAAATGTGTTGCAACGTTGAGCGATTACATGCTTGAGAAATAATTTTGTATGTATTTTGCTAACGCATATTGTAATGTGAGGAATGAATAAATTTACTTTTTTGATTTTCCCTCGTACATTTTTTCAATACTTTTCTTCGCGTGCCATACGCTTGTCAGCGCGTAGGCAATCTCTTCTGCATATGTATATCCGTAGATATGGGGCACTACAGTTTTAATGCCGCGCTAGTTGCAAACGGCATATTAGAAGAAACTTTCCTGAGCAGAGTTGCTCTCGGGGGTTTGCTTTTGCTTTTCGAGAGGTGGCGATTGCTTCCAAATCGATTAAAACCGATTTAGAGTTATAAATTGTTCTGAGTGGATTTGAACCTGGGTCTTTGACACAGAAAACCAACGCACAGCTCTTCGCGTCACAATCGCCACGATTTGCAATATATATAATCTATATATTTAAAAGAATTATTTTATTATTTTAGATTCTGTTGCTGCACTAACAATAAATTTCCAGCAAATAATTTTCTTTCATATTTCTTTTATCTCATAAAACTTTCATCTAAATTATCGAATTTAAAAAATTCAGAATGTTTATAACTAAATTTATGAAGCATTGACGGCTGTATATTTTTTTAATAAGAGATATTCAATATCAGATTTATACAAATAAAATGAAACTTTATTAGAAAAAGAGAAAGAGAGAGAGAGAGAGAAAGAGAGAGAGAAAATTATTAATACTTAAAAAACGTTTATATAAAAAGATAACTATATTGAAATTTTTTAAAAATATTTATATACATACATATAGAATTTATTAATAGGAGGTGATATATATGTATGTACATATATATATATATATATATATATATATGTATATGTAAAAGACGCGTATCAATTATTTTTAAAATTTGATTATAACTTGTAGTATAAATTTAATATATCTTGAAACGTATTATACATATATTATTAGTTATAACAATATATTTTAATATAATTTAATATAAAAATAACAAAAGAAAAAATTAATATATGAGATTACATATTTAATAAAAAAAAGAAGAAGCAAATTGAATTGTGTTACAATAAAAATATAAATTAAATGGAGATATATAAAAGTCAACAAAATAATAAAATTTATGTTTCAGGTTTGAGAATACGACTTGCCAATCTTTTCTTCAAACTCTTAACATGCTTCCTGTATATATTCAGAGTTATTACCGACAGCGATCCAACATACGCAGCATGGTAAGCTACATTAAATATCCGAATAAATCCTTTTACATATTGTTAGAAACGTGAAATTTGCATCGAATTTTTATCAATATTTGAATTTTACAAATATAAATTCAAATATCACTGCAGTGATATATCTGACTTTCTGGACTATTTGAAAATCGTAATTTCGTTAGCTTCAAAACTAGATTTATTTTTGTTTTAATATTTGTTACATGGTACTTTTTTGCTTTACTTAATTTACGCAAATAAAAAAAGACGTTTATGCTTTTGTAGTATATAGAAAATATTCGGTTCACTATGCAGAATATTACAGTTTTTTACATTTCTTTTGACTACGAATTACTTCATAGAGAAATCATTATAAATAAGTATTTCTATTATTAAATTATTGTTAATTTTTTATTTCCAAAATATATTCATGTTAATGGAAGAATAAAAGGAAATGCAGAAAATCTGAAATAGTTTTAAAAAAACTGCTTTTTTCAAATTACTGGAAAAAAACCAAAAAAATTTCGGTTTT